TCTCCCCATCAATGTAACACCCTTGTTCCCATTCTTCCTAGCTCAGTCTTCTCTCTTCTGGCTTCATTTCCTAGTCCCATATTCATCTAGGTAGACAGTCTCATCTCCTGAGGCTTCTCATTCAGTCCTTCCCCATTCCCAGTCCTTCTCCAGTCTCGGTTTCCCCCCACTCCATCTGCCAACTCCTTCTCGGTTGCCTTGCCCAGCCAGTCCTAGGCATAATCATGCAAAATCCCAACCACCAGAACCAGATTCCCAATCCCTCATAGCTTCAGGCACAGTTTCTGTGCTGCTCCACACCCTTCATGCTAATCCACTCCTCCATATTTCCAACCCCTGTCATAGCTCTACTCCCATTAGACGTTCGAAGGAAACTTCCTCCTCCGTGTTGCATGGGGCCAGCAAGGAGAGACCTGAACTAGAACCAGACCTTGGATAAATCGGAGCAGATTTTCATGGGAATGGCCAAAGACCCATCCCAGGCAAAAAAGGTTTCCTCCCTGACAAATATCAAGTCCCTGCTCAAAAATAGAAATTTTGAAAGACAAAACCAACAAGGCTGCCAGGATTTTTACTTTTTTCTAAACGGGCATTTTTTTTTTCCCCAACCCTCTTCTCACAAATGACTGGATGTCTCACAACACAATAAAATAAAATCAGGCTCAAGCAAGCAGACATTCAAGTACGGAAAATTGAAGGCCAAACCGTTGAAATTTGACAAAGTTAAGTTTAACTAAAAATCAGATCTAATAACAGGAAGTGCCACGGAAGTTTAATAATAAGAACTGTACTAGCTCAGCCTAAAACACAGACTTCATCTCAGAGCAGCTCACAAATACTTAAACCTCGCAAAGTACCATTAACTATCATTACATCATTGTATATCAGCGGGATATCACTCTCAGACCAGCATAAAATCAGACTTTGGTATCCTTACCTGTATAATTTAAAATATTCTCAATTATTAAAGAGAAGAAAATGGGGGGAAAGCATTTATCCCCACTAGCTGTGCTTCCCTCCAACTGGATGTGAAACTAAACTTATCAGTTTCCCTGACACTGCAGTATCAAGCACTACATCATTGGTGTATACACTGAAAATGCACTACATTGTATTTTCTAACTTTGGCCCATAAACGTTTTCCCCGGAAATCTGAAGTTCCACGTGCCACTGGAAACACGGGCCAGGATATCTCATTTTACAAACCTGTGCAGGATCAACACATTTATGCTTCAATTCTATTTTAAATGGAACTTTTCAAAGTGCGTGTTTTCTGGAAGGATTATTTAGATTGTCTAATTGTCATCCATCTCTCCTACTGTTGCAGCTCCTATAATCGTTTTAAATTGCCACAGAATGAAAATAAGCTATCCAAGGGTATTTCTCCACTGCAGTCACAGAAACCTCATCAACCAGAGCGGGCTTTAAATGAACTCCCTTGGTCACTGTAGCAGTCTAGTATCAGCAACGTTTGACTCCGCGCAAAATATTTTCAACCTGCTTCTCTGGCAGGTTTTGCAGTCCTACTGAGCTCCTTGCTGCCACGATCAGATTGTTACCAGTACCGAGCTAGGAGGTTTAAAGCTATCACTGAAATATCAGTGCTACACTGGAGTGGAGACAATCACCAATATAGTGGCAACCATTGATCCTCCTGGATCATGGTGTATGCACGAGGGCCACCTGGACCTTCGATGCACATGCCTAGGCAGGAATTTTTGGAAGAGTAGACCTTCCATCAGGCTACTGAGACAGAATCCAAAGACCAAACTAAGTCCAGATGTTTGGAGTAGTTGTATAGGTGCCTGGGAATCAAACCCAGGTCTCTTGTGGGGTAGACAAGGATGCTACCACTGAACCACAGGGGACTCTTCCCCAACATGGTAGGGTTACTCTATCTCTGGACTGCAGATAAGGTCGTCTGGCCCTCCATCTCTAGAAATTGCTGGATCAGTCTTCATAGTTAGATACGAATCACGCTACATACAAACAGCCAAGAGTTCAGCATCTATTATGCAGCAAATTGTGGTTTTCACCATTACAGAAGCATGCACTGCATTAGCAAAGTATATGCACCTAACACTATCCAGTCAGAGATCTCCTATGGTAACATAGGAGAGAACACCAAGAAAAGTTACACAAACCTGGAAATTCTCTATTATAACCTCAATCCTGACAATTTTAATCCACCTGCTTAGAGGCTCACTGAGGTCAGTAAAACTAACCAGGCAGATGCCAGTCAAACCCGGGCCTCTCCCTCTGCACAGCAAGAAAGTAATTAAGTGGTAATCCACAAAAGCCTTGGTACTAAAGCACTTGGGAATTTACTTCCTCTTACCTTTTAATCCCTGTTTGTTGGCAGCATCCTTTGAGTGTATGCATTAGTGGATAATAACAGATTACCTTCTATACCCAGAAGGGGTTTGTTTGGGGTTTTTTTCCCAAATCAGGACTGAAAATCACCTAACCCTGACTATAAATTGATCAGTCCTGATAAAGAAAAACAGCCAGTGGTCTTATGCACAACAATCCTAGATGGAATGAAAGTTTCATTGGGTTTTTGTTGGGTTTTTTTAGGGAGGCGGGGAGGCAGGGGAAAGGGCTCCCAAAGCAAGAGCTCCTAAGTCAAGTTTCAACACATTATTTTTTTATTTAGGCGTGTTTGGGTTTTTTTTAATTTTGGGGGGCAAGTTCTACAACGCTTGATCATGTGCAGCAGCCCTTGCTTGGTAATATTCCCATGGACTCCAGTAACACTATTCATGTACAAGGTAATGGATCCGGTTCCAAAGCCTGAGTCTGAGAACAAGCCACTGGAAAGAAGAGCACGCCAGCATCATTAACATTAGCAATCATCAAGGATGCAGGCCTAATTAGCAATACTTCATCTACATTTCAGTATACCAGGAGTGTTTACAGCAAGAGATTTTCACTTTGCTTCTTTTCAGCCAAAACCATAACTAGATTGACAAAGGCTCATTACATCAGCCCTGGACATTAGCAATCAGCATTAATAAACTCCGCATTCTGGCATGCCTTGCAGATACTCACAGAAACCCTCAATCTTGTCAGCCGTCTTGCTCCAAGCTACCTGTCTGGTTTCCATTATGACTTGAATGGTCCTTCTTTCTGGGTTAGACTTCTTGAGACTGTACACGGTCATAACTGTTCCCAGCTCCAGGGTCCTCTTGATCTGGCTCTTCTCATACTCTGGGAGCGCCCCATAGTCTATGCTTTTTCTGGGCATTTTTAAATCAAAGCTTTAATCACACCAAAATGTTCCCGATGTGCTGGGGGAAAAAAGTGATAGAAAGGGGAAAAGTTAACATTGAAAACAACTTTATTTGTATTCAATTAAGGGGAAAAAAACAACCCCAGAGGATCATTGTGCATCGCTGCTCATCAGATATAAGCACAAGTCGCATCACAGCTATCTGGTTAACCTGGACAGTCTGATTCGGGCTAAATGTCCTGGAAAAAAAAAAGTGGTTTGCTGGAGGAATCAGTGCTCCTTTCATTAGTGTGGCATGATTTGGAAGTCCTGGGAGGAGCAGGCTTGGTTGGGAATGAAACACGGCTGCAACTCCCCACTGTGCTCCCTCTCTCCTGCTGCCATACAGTGTTCCCCAGTGGCTTAAAGCAAACCCTTTTGGCCCAAATGTGCTCCCCTCTCCTCCCAATGCAGGCAGGAAGGATGGGAACAAACGTGCAAACAAGGAAAGAGAAGGGAAATACACAAAATCCCTGACTTGTCCATGCACACCTGCACAAACACAGGCCTCCATCTGTAAAACCTTATGTGTAATAGCAGGCAGGAGGCTCAACATTATATATGACTAGGCTCTGCAAAAATAAAGGTGAGTTGGCAAACTTACTGAATATAAGCAGGGCTGTGACATACTGTCCTTGTGTGCAAGGAAACAGCACCAAAAACTAAAGGAGATGCAAGAGAGGACTGGGCCTGGCTCATACTAAAGAAAACTGCTTAGAATAAAAGGTCAAGAGTTTGTGTGGGGTTGTTCAGGTATATCTCGAAGGTCAGATCTACACTTCTGCTGGTGCAGCCATCCTGGTTTGTGGTGTTGGGTTTCCTGCAACCTCTCTGTTCCTACAAAAGACACAGTGGTGTCAATGCACCTATACAGCACAAAACTGCCCTTTCTCACTGGCTGATCAAGCCTACAAGCCAGACAAGAAAAAATACTGTTTTTTGCCAATACAGGAGTTACATTTACATGAGGTTCATCTTCTATCACTATCTGCAAGCCTTAGTACAGGCACGCCTAAAACGTAGGTCCGAGCTGCACAGCAATCAGTGGAGCCCATGTCGGCTGTCAGATGGCTTTTCCATACAAGACACATCCAGAGTCCTTTCATACCACATCTTGAACAGCTACAGAGACGTCTCATCAACACCAGGATGTGAGAAAAGCTCCAGATCCTTCGTATAACAACTCTATTTTAGAGGGAGACCCAGAAGTTTCGCTACAGGATCCAACATGGTCTCAACCTGATGAACTCATTATCCAACGGACAAGCGTCCGCAATAAGCTCCTTTCCTTTGCGCGGCCTTGCCTTATCCGGACAACAAGTACATTCCCGATGAGACCCGGTTCTCTCCAAAAAGCAGAACTGCTTTTCTAAATGTATCGGCATGATTTTATAGGGAGTGGTATTCCTCTGAAACTGCACATAGCTACATTTTTGGAGAGGCACAAAGAGACACCAAAAAGGGATCAGCTTTTTTCCGTCAGATCACTGCTCAACTTCTCTTCCTATAACCTACCTCTCATTGTAGCACACAAGCACATTTGATATCCCACGTGAGTTTCTAGGAGTTTGACACGCTAACTGAAAGATGGGAACTTAAAAACCAGGATATTGCTATTATTTCTACTCCTGCAAGAAATCCCCAAGCTCTTTTTATAACCTAGGTACCAGAGCTCAGCATCTTAGATCTGGTAGAACAGGTATCTGCAACTGATTCAAATTTATCCAAAAATTTTCCACTCTTAGAGACATGATCCTAAGCTACGAGTCCGGACTTTCCCCAGTGCATAGGCTGCCTCTGAATTACCATGACAAAAGCTTCAATTATTTCTAACTGGGATAAGTCTTGTCCCTGATCTTGCCCATAAAGAAGTTCTGAACGGTCACTTGCAGGGATCTCTGATCTCTATGTAAGAGGTCCAGGAAAGACCAGACGTGACAGCTAGTATTGCCGCTGCTCTCCCGTGACAGCAAGCAGAGAGACAAGTGACTGAGGCCTGATAGTGATGCAAGAAAAAGTGCCATCACGGGCCAGAATCTCGACTGGTGTAAATAGCCAGAGCTTTGTTTAAGTCAGCAGAGCGAGGGCAGATGCTAGCCAGGCTTTGGTAATCGCCAGGCCCTGAAAGGGGGATGAACGTCCACAAGGGACAACGTGAGCGCATACCAATACTGCGATAAAAACCAGCCTTTGCACTGTGAAGGCTTCACGGACACGTGGTAGCTGCATCTGCACACAGTCCGCTCTCCTCTCACATCTGCGACAGGGGACACGTTTCAATTTAAGGCAGCCCTCGACTGGAGAAGCCAGCGAGGGCACAGGAAGCAAAACGCACATGCCGCAGCTCCTAGAAACGTGAACACAGGGGGGTTTTTTTTGCGTCTCCCAGATATTCTTGCAGCAGCAGACCGATGCCACCCTGGGTCGCCCCTCAGCCTCGTGCACAGGAAGGACACTCTGGTGCCAATCCTGTCATCCAGGAGCGGAGGAGGAAGTGTGTGCAAACGATACGAAGTAGCAGTGACTGCTGCAACATCTTTCCCAACCACCCTCCCAGGCCAGAGCCCGAGAGCAGAAGGCAGTAAATGCACTCGAGCACTAGCCACCGTCTCCTCCGCTTCTCCTTCCTCTCTCCTCAGTCCAGCACTTTTCACTGCGAACACTTTCAGTTTCCACATTGATAATCAATTTAATCGCGCTGCTTCTCACTTCCCTTTTGTAACCTCTCCCTAATTCCCCCCAGCCACCATGTCCTGACCGGCTCCATGCTGAACATCCTTCAGGCCACTTCTTTGTTATCTCTCGTATTTACCAGCGCTGGCTAAGGTTTATAATCTCACCGTTCACTCCTTTCCACGGCGCCTGGTCTGCCAACCTCCCCCCGGTTCTTCACTGAAGTCGCTCTTTATGACTCCTTATAGTACGCCGGTAGAGAAAATAGTCTCCTTCCTGTGCTGCTGCCCTCTATTATATTGCCTGTGGTACATCATAAATCCGGCAGAGCAACAACCAGGTCACAGTCCATTGCTTTCAAAGTATTACATAGGTGTCCAGCACCTACTTATTAATGCTGGAGGCACATAAAAGACGAGTGGAAAAATTCCCCTCTTAACTCTCATGGAAGATCCTCAGGGAACAAGTGGCCAATTATTTAGAGGGTCATTGTATAGGCAGAGAGGAGCTGGAAGTGCAATTTATCCTTTCGTCTCCATAGGACTAATCACATAATTCATGGCTTAAATCACTCTGCATTGACATCTAATGATCTAGTCATAACCCCTTCTGTTACAGCGTCTTCAAGTGACGGAAGATAATAGGGAGAAAAATCATCAAAGGAAATCCTGGGTCTGGATTTGGTTTTCAAAAATTAACTAATGCTCTTACTTTTTTTTTTTCCCCTCCTTCATTAAGATCCGCATTATTATGGATCAGGCTGCAATTCAGATCTGCATCGCTGACCCACGCACGCTCTCTCTTTCCACGGCCGGCTGTAAAGCCTGACTTCCGAATAAATGCCCTTCACGTAACAAAACGCAGACCTGAGCCGTAGGAAAGGACAAGCTATCCGTAAACTGAAATCTGGCTAATGTGTCCACACAAGGGACTTACCAAATGCCGAGGCTTAACAGAAGTGGCCTTCAAACAGAAATGGAGAAGCAGCGTTTGAAGGATGCCTTGGGGTTGTCTCTTAATACAGGAAACCGTCTAGTGATAATAGTCTCTTGTACAAAGTCTGTAGCTGGTACGGTAGGCTTCAAGCACGTCCAGTCTTAACTTATTTCTGCGGTTTAAAGTACTGATAAAATAGGGTGTTTTCTGCACGCAAAAAGCTACGTCAAAGTCTTCCCCGGCCTTGTCACCCTCAGTCCCATCGCAACGTAAGAGTCCGTGTTTATAATGGACCCTCGCCCCCAGCGTCCTCAAAAAATGGACACAAGCATCTGACCCTTCTTCTGCAAGGCAGCGTTATCGCGCTTTTACAGCCGCGTACTGAAAGGACAGGCACGGCTCGCGACTTGTCCCCCCCGGTCGCGCAGGGTGAGCTGGAAAGACCCCCGAGGCTCCCCGTTCAGGCGCACCCCCACGACGGGCCCCACGTGCCCACCACGCTGCAGCGCGCATGGCGAAGCGCGAGCTCCCCAAAAATACAACTCAGCCTGCGGTGCCCGCTGCCCCGGGACAGCGCGACCCTCCGCTCTCCCTGGCACAGACGAGGGCATCCGATTTGCTCGGGACTTTAAACCCACGTGCACGAAGCCGGGATGCTTGCACATGCATGAAGCCGGGAAGCGCGGACATGCATGCAGCTGGGACACGTATGAAGCCTATAAGACACCCGCTAGACTCGGCGCGAGACGTGTCGCTGGAGGGAC